TAAGAAAGCTAGTGAAATTCGAAGAGAGCTAGAGCATTGATCTCCAGTCGTGACTGGAGTCCCAGCTAGCGGAGTAGTGAAGGCGTCTGTGCGTCAGTACGTCTACTGAGAGCTCAATATTCCAACAGTGCAGCTCACGACAAAAGAGCTAGCGACATATCCGGGTTAGAAGTGCTTTATTTTTGATTTTCAAAAACTCATGGTCTGCCCTCCGTCATATTCATATCTCACGATATTTCATGAGGAAAGCTGACGACACGTAGAGGTGGTACGAAAAATACGGCGGTTTTCAAAAATACCCAACCCCATTTATGAAATATGAGCAAAAAAAACATCAAACCAGCTCTCCTTGGGGGAGGGGAAATCGGTATACTCCGTCTTCAAGGCAAAATATCATACCTGGTAGGGAGCATGGCGGGCAGTACATAGGTGTCGGGTGCTGCCCGATATATATATTATCTGAATAAAGGATAAAAAAACTACCAGCGCATGCGCCAGGATCGACATTCAACATGCATTTAAAAAATAGCACACTACAAAAAAGCAATTAACGTAGAACCATTAAGGGCGATGTGATCATATACCGTTGGTTAGGTCAGCAGCATAACAGAATGGACTTGGATTGCTTTCTTCCTAGCAGCAGCTCTACCTTCCGGGCAATCAGATGCATATGCATGGATCCCATGTGTAGACTCGCGCAGCAAAGGTTCAAGAAGGTGAACGACGCTAGGGGCGGGTTTTTTACTGTTCCTGCTGCTACTCAAAGTAGCTACGATCCCAAAGAAGTTGCAGTTGCATCAACGATAAATGCTGGATCCGCAGAATCAAAAATGCTGATGACGACAGGGGAAAAGAAAAGGAGGATGGTAGAATTGCTGATGGGTGGTGGCAATGGCATTCCGCAGCAACGATGTTTTGTTGCGATGCTTCATTTTTCGCCGTACGTTCTCAGGAAGAAATGCCTGAGAAAGAGAGGCACAGAGCATGTCTACTGCTGGTTGTTACCAAAAAGAAACAGCGATGATGGGGAATCTGTTGCTCCAAATTATCTGATCCAAGATGCGCAACGGGATGTGCTAGAAACCAAAAATGCTGTGAACCAAAGGCCCGTGTACACAAGAGCGTCAAGGAAAAGCACAGAGGAGATGGTGAAGCTGTTTCTTGGTAATCGGACAAAATTGACCCGTGTAGAACGGAAAAGGATCAGAGATTATGCACAGTTCGTTAAAAACCAGATGAAGAAAGGAAAGAAGCTTCCTCTGGAAAAGGAATCGCGGTTGGAACAAATCGGATTTTTTGATGAGTTTCCAAGACCGGAAATATCAGTAGGAACAGAAGGGGAAGGGATGGAAAATTTGGAAGCAACCCTGATTGAGCACAATTTTAAATTGTGATATAGAAGACTTGAAGCAAAGAGGTCGTATAATTGTATTAGTGAACGTTGACACACATATGGATTTATACATTTTAGATCTTTCTGCTTGGGGCTTTAGAGGACAATGAGAAATTCACCAGCATTGATTTAGATATGTCATGGCCAAAGATTGCCATCGCTTTGGTGCAGGGTACAATCAGTCAGTGTTTTGACTTAATCGAAGTAGTTTTGTGCAACGTCAGGCTCGTAGAAGCCAGTTGCGGCTGCACCGCCCCGTCCTGTTGCCACGTGGCTTCTGGCAAGTGCTAGGGATTCGTTGTCAAAGTAAACAGTCATATCTTGCTGTTCTAGGATATTTGCCAATGTCATGCCTGGAAAGATCCGCTGTTCCAGAGCTTCCAGAACATCCTGAACGGTGAGGTAATAGCTGAGCACTTGGATGATTGGCGGAGTGATGTCCCCAGCATACTCCAAGGGAAGAGGATAGCGGCATTTGATATGTGCAACAGATTGGAGCTTGTGTGCAACCTTTTTGGCCCAGGTTTCAAGAATCTGGTTCATTTTCACAGTCACCATTGGAAGGGACTCGTTCTTGTGTCCAAGCAGTTTCACGTCTTGGGCACGGGAAACCCCGGCTCCTGTGTTCGCTCGTCTCCTTTGCCATAAGGAGATTGCGACAGTGGTGGCGTTGGGATCTGGATCATAATGCAGAAACCCATCGTCCACATCACCATCCACATCACCAGCACCAGTATGATCATCATCATCATCATCACCAGCAGCAGCCGCAG